TGAGCTATAGGCGCCAAGCCCTTAATCTCGTCTTTAACCCAGGTATCATTCAGCCTAAGATTATTTCATTTCCATGACTTTGTTTGAGTATGAGGATTCCTGTTGCTGTTGAGTTCAACTTTTATTCCATGGTTATCTGAGAAGATACAAGGAGTAATTTCTATACTTTTAAATTTGCTGAGGTTAGACTTGTGTCCTAGGATATGATCTATTTTGGAGGATGACCCGTGGGCTGATAAGAAGAGTTGGAGACCCGAATGTTACTCAGTTTTGTCACGGTGAAATGTTCTGTAGAGATCTGTAAAGTCCATTTGTTCTAGGGTCAGGTTTAAGTCTAATATTTCTTTGTTTAGTTTCTTCTTGAAGGATCTATCCAAAACTGTCAAAGGGGTATTAAAATCTCCAACTATTATAGTGAAGGAAGATATCAAGTTGTTCATATCCATTAGGGTCTGCTTTATGAATTGAGGAGCATTCTGGTAGAGTGCATGAATGTTAATTATCGAAATCTCTTCATGTTGGGTGTTTTCCTTGACAAGCATGTAGTGACCTTCATTATCTTTCTTTATTTTTGTTAGTTTAAAGCCAATTGTATCTGCTACTAAAATTGCAGCCCCTGCTTTTTTCTGGTTTCCATTTGCCTGTGTTACACAACTCCATCCCTTTTCCCTGAGTCTATTTTTATCCTTTAAGGTAAGGTGAGATTCTTGTATACAGTAGATAGCCAGTCTGAGTTTATGTATCCAGTCAGCCAGCCTCTGCCTCCTTAGAGGACAATTTAAACCATCCCATTAATTGAGAGAATTGATAACCCTGGTTGTGTTTTGGGTGTCATGATTTTCAGATGTCCAGTGGACATTTTTAATCCTTTCACCACTGTGAAAGTTGGGTTTTGTTCAAAAATTTCTGGGTAAGTTTACTTTGGAGGTAGTCTGAGAATATCCTGGAGAGCTGGTTTAGTTATGGCAAATTTCTTCAACATATCTATGTCATTAAAGTATTTGATTTCTCCATCACAAATGAAACTCAGTTTGGCTGGATACAGGATCCTAGGCTAGAAGTTGTTTTGTTTTAGGAGACTGAAGGTGAATGATCATCTTCTTTGGTCTTGAAACATTTCGGCTGAGAGATCTGTAGTCATGCTGACACTTCTCCCTTTGTAGGTCATGCATTTCTTACATCTGGCTGCTTGCAGAATTTTCTCCTTCATCTTAACTTTGGCAAAGTTAATCACAATGTATCTAAGAGATGCTCTATTTGGATTGAGTCTTGCTGGGGTTCTGAAACCGTCTGCTATCTGAAGTTCTGTATCTCTTGCAATGCTTGGGAAATTCTCCTTCAAAAATCTCTTGGAGTGGAGCATCTGTACCTTTAGGGCCATCCTCTTCTCCTTCAGGAATTCCTTTAAGACAAATGTTTGATCTTTTGGAGTGATTCCACAACTCTCAGGGAATGATCAGTTTTTGCTCTGCATTTGTCTGCCTCTTTGAGTGTTTGGGAACTTTCAAAAGCTTTGTCTTCAGTTACAGAGATCCTTTCTTCTGCCTGTTCAACTCTATTACTGAGGGATTCTACTGTATTTTGGAGTTCCTCAACTAACTTTCATTTCCTTGAGCTCTGCTATCTCTTCTCATTATATTCATGTCTTTGGTGACTTGAGCTTTGAATTCATTAATTTCTTGAGACAACTTTAGAACTACTCTTTGGAATTCAATTTCTATCTTTTCTTCCATTCTGTTTATCTCATTTGCAATCCATATTCTGAATTTGACTTCTGACATTGTTGCCATTTGTCTATGCATGGCATCTTGTATCCCCTTTGTCATTTCTTTGGGGGGAAGGTTGATCTGTGGTTATTCATGTTGCCAGAGTTCTTCTGTTGGGTCCGCACTGTGTTTCTTTCCACCATTTGGTTATTAGAAGTGGTAGGGTGAAATTGAATTGGGGTTCCCAGGTAGTAGAGATAGCCCCTTACCAAAGTGCTAGGCTCTGTAATTGTGGCTTATCTCCTACAACCTTACAAAGGCCCCTTTCAGAGTTTTGGCCAGAGAGTCTGAGGACCTACTTGGTGACATAGCGCAAGCTAGCTCTGTTTTGATGTCAGCCAACCTCTACCCTATCCTAAGAAGCCACAGTATTAGGTTTAAATCTTGACTGTGAAGAGATACAAACAGCTGTGGTGCCCAGCCCCCACCTTTCAGTTCTTTTCCGCTGAAGAACTTCAAAGATCAACCTTAGAATGGCCCCGAGTGGACAGCCCCAGACATGGGTTCCAATTAAATTGTCTCAGGCAGTGCAAATCCTGCTCAACAGATGGGTTTAAGGGTCTCCAACAGCACAATTGGAGCCAGGGATCTACACTGGCCCATCAGACTCAGTCCACAATGTTGTCAGCTTCTCTGCTCACAGGCTCAGTTGGAGCCAGGGGCCATGCCCCTGCCCATTGGTCTCAGTCCACACCCAGCTAGCCTCTGCTTGCCAGACCAGTTGGAGTCAGGGGACCATACCCCTGCCTGCCAATCTCAGTCCACTGCATGGCAAGCCTCTGTTTGCAGGCTCTGTTAGAGTCAGGGGACCTCACCTTGGCCGCAGGTCTTAGTCCTCACCCAGTAAGACGCTTTTCACCAGCTCCTCTGGAGACAGGGACCATGCCCTTGCCCTCAGGTCTTGGTTCACACCCAGCAAGCCACTGCTAGAGGGTTCTGTTGGAATCTGGGGACCATGTCCTTGTTCTCAGGTCTCAGTCCATGCCTAACATGCCTCTGCTTGCAGGCCCAGCAGGGGCTGGGGATCAGCTCTGTCGGCTGAAATCAGTCCACACGGGGCAACCACTCTCCCCCTGTGGGTGCCGTCAGAGCCAGGGGTTCTGCACCCCGTCCTGACAGACAGCCCTGATTGAACGTTAACACCACCACTGGCCATGCATAGTCATAACCAGGGGACTGCTCCTCCTCCTACCAAGTGTCCCTTTCTTCCCACACCCTCTTTCTTCCCCATTAGTCACAGATTTTGTCTTGATGATTGGTGGTCCACACTATGCCCACATCTCTCAGGATAAGACCAAACACTCTGTGCTCTACAGGGGGCAGAACTTTAGACCACCATGCGAGGGGGAAAGGGTGGACTGGGAGTTTAGACTTCTGGGGGGAAATATCTGTTCAGTTTTATGCCTGGCAGGGTGGTATCTAAGTTCATAAGTGGGAGCTCCCTGGAGAAAAAAACCTGGAGTTCAGTGGCTCTCTTCATCTAGGTAAAATGAGAGGTCTTTTGTTCCCTGCTCAGTCGCAGATAG